GCGTGCGTGTGTGTGTGTGTGTGTGTGTGTGTGTGTGTGTGTGTGTGTGTGTGTGTGTGTGTGCGTGCGTGCGTGCCAGAGAGCAGACTCTCAAATGATAAGTTTTTTGCTTCGTCAAAAACTATATGTATATAACCAATATTCAGCAGCAAATAATTGATCGGCAGTGCTCCAGCTTTTGCGCTCACACTCTCATCATTAGCAAAAACTCAAACACGACTAATTAGTTGAGATCAGTTTGTTGCGCGACAGTTCCCGCCGCGAATCGAAAACAAGAGGCTTCTCAGGCAATAGCACGCGGTGCATGGCTGATGAGGATTCTGTTTGGCAACACATATTAGACCAGTACGACACAACACGATCAGGGAACATTTTCCAGGGCGATTGAAGCGTAACACATACAGGACAACGATGCGAAATCGAAGAGATTCGAGAGATACGCTTTAATTGTGCTGACGGACAGAATGCTATCACGCTTTTCAGGTATACTAAATCACGAGTCAAGCCGTATAACAGTTATTTATGACTAATAGCAGCTCACAGAAAGGATGATCACAGACACGTATATAATAACGACAGGAAGCAATCTATCTTCGACTACGTGGATACACGTGCATGTGAGAGGACACGGCCTTACTCGCGCGTAACAAGTTCACGTACAAACGGGATAGACAAAGCGAGCAGGACCTGACATGGTGTTGCAAGCACCTGCCTAATGTGCCAATTACAGCAACACACGCTGTAAGCTGACCGCGCAAGCCCTGCCAATCACCCGCGGACGGAGTTCTGGGCCAAACTGCCGAAAATCCCCGCGAGTCCCTTGAACCCCATGAACGCGAGCGATATGGCATCGGTGGGTGAGCGTAATGCCGCAGCAGGCAGTGCATGTTTGCGAGTGTTGAAAGCAGGGGCCGTGTACGTAGTAGCAGCAGCGAGGCAGCGATGGCGAGACAGCAACTCTAGGGCACAAGCACTTGGAACGTTTTAATATAAAAAAAATATGGTAAATAAACTCGAAATGTATTTACTACAAGTCTTAATGTCTCTCTGAGGTCGCCTATTATTGCCGATAACTTCCTGTAAATGCCGTTCAGATGCTCCTCTGCAACACACAAGTACTGGACCAAGTACTCCACCGCACGCACGCCGCTGTGCACAAACAACAAGAAGAAATATCGAGGTCTTTATTCTCGTTAAGGCTCTCTATTCTTGTTGTTTGTGCACAGCGGCGTACGCGCGGTGTACTTGTGTGTTGCAGAGGGGCAATTGAACGACAGTCACAGGAAGTTATTGGCAATTATAGGCAAGAGTACAGAAACATTAAGACTTCGGTAGTAAATACATTTCGTGTTTCTTTAGCATATTTTTTTTTATTGAAACGTTCCAAGTGACTGTGCTCTAGGGAGCTCGGTGCGCAGGCGTGAGAGAAAGCGCGCGCGCATGCGTGGTGATAGCAGACGACATCTACTCACGTAGCGGGACATTCGTGCGTGTTGCACTGCTGCAGCTTGGGACTAGGACGCTTCTGCTGATCGCAGAACATCTGGTCCACCTCCTGCTGCGTGCCCGTGTTGTAGCACATCGTGGACGTCAGCTGGTAGCCTGCAATACACGCGCCATGCATCGGTTAATTACGTTAGGTTGCTCGAACCTTCTATCGATATGCAGGTCACACACACACACACACACACACACACACACACACACACACACACACACGCGCGCGCCGCGCGGCCGCGGCGCGCGCGCACACACGCCACACGCACACACGCCCACGGAAGTCAAGCGCGAATTCCAACATCTACTGCTTGTCCGATTTCTCCATGAGTAATGCACAGCTTGCACGCGTATAGAATGCTGGCTGAATGACCGAGCAGTCGTTATTCTACTTTCCCCGACTAGCAAACTGTTACATATTCATTTTCTATGGCGCACTGCGCTATATTCTCTAGAAGGCGATAGGCAGTGCTCCTACGTTCTTAATCATTGGTTTCAAGAGTAATCCAACGTAAACCACATAGTGCCCCTGCTACCCTAGGAAGCTTACGGTAGTCATAGGAAGTATTAAATATCCTAGTACCGTTCCTCAAAACATGTTATGAGCGTATGAAACCAGCATTCTTCTTCCCGAACTCATTCTCATCCCACCGCATCTGTACCTCCTCCACACGTTACAGGACAGCGCGAAAGTTCTGTCTTGTCTCCACTGGAACATTGTGGTTGCACCACACTCTTGGCGCCGTCCCCTCCACACACGCCAACACTGCGTCCACTCTCTTCTCGAAGAGCCTAATACCTCTCATTAGCCACTCGACAGCCAGCTAAAGCAAGCAATATTGCGTTTGTGTATAAGAGCAGATTACAGTGGCATTATATAATATGCCTTATCACTATTCTCCACAACATGACAAATATCTTAACGCATAACTTGCCATAACAACGTATTTCACACCTATTCCGTTTGATATATGTGATGACTGCCTTTCACATTAGACCAATAATAGCCAGTAGTTGGCTAACATTGACGTAGCTACATTTATATTTATATAATTATTATTCTGCTGGGCTCAGATACCCGAGTGAACGTATAGTGGTATATCTAAGTCCATGTCAGTCTCATTTCATGTGTATGTCTATTTCAATGTCCATGCGAATATATATGTCTATGTCTACTTGTCAAACGGTCAATCATCTATGCTCATATCCATGTCGCCAACATATATTATATATATATATATATTATATATAGTATATATTATATTATAATATATATATATTATTATTCTGTATCTGATCGTATCTGTAATCTGTACCTGTACCTATATCTACCATCCTACATCTACATCTATATCAATATCTGTATCTATATACTATTTATATTTACATACACTTCTGAAATTAGTTACCAAGCGCAGTTAGCCACCGACCGATCCGCAAATTTCCTCTAGCATTAGCTCCTACAGAGCAAGCAACGCTACACTCACCGTCATAATAGGTGCATCTGTCCTGTTTAACTGCCAAGGTGAACAAGTCAATATCATTCGTTTCGTTTTCTCAGCATGACTGGCTCGTACGTGGGCAAACTTTCATTGGCCCCGACAGTGAATTAATGTCCTGTAATTGCTCGAAATGAGTGCCATCTATGCAGAACAAACGAGTATTTTTATCAAACCACTCGAGACGCAGAGACCCCCCTTTCAGAGTATATGATTACACACTAATTGTATTCTATATTTAGTATCAGACTATAAAAATGCATAAACGCTTATAGCAGCTACATTATATTCGCATAAGCCATTTATTGTGTTGTGATGGCATGTGTGAGGTACCGTTGTGCGGTCTGTGCGTGCGCCCTGCATGTGCGTGGGTTTTCGTGTGTGCACGCGTGTGTGTATGCGCGCGTGTGTGTGCGTGCGTGTGTGATGGTACCGTTGTGCGTGTCTGTGCTGCCCTTGCATGTTGGCGTCGGGTTCGGTGTGTCACGTGTGCGGTATGCGCGCGCTGGGTGTGCGTGTGTGTGTGTGCGTGCGTGCGTGTGTGCACGTGCGTGCGTGCGTGTGCGCGCGCTTGTGCGCTTGTGCGTGCGTGTGTGTGTGTCGTGTGTGTGTGTGTGTGTGTGTGTGTGTGTGTGTGTGTGTGTGTGTGTGTGTGTGTGTGTGTGTCGCGCGCGCGCGCGCGTGTGTGTGTGTGTGTGTGTGTGTGTGTGTGTGTGTGTGTGTGTGTGTGTGCACGCTGCGCGACAGTGTGTATCCGCCTGCAGGTGCGAGGATCAGATACCGTCATCTTCCATACTTGTCCAAGACACATACCTTACAGATGCCGGTGACGCACACATCCTTCGAGTCGATCGCGCACGGTGTTCCATCCTTCACCATGGGACTAAGCACGACGACGAATCCAGCCTTCTTCGCCTGGCAGGTGAGTGCGCACGGGTCGTGGTGGTTGTGGAAGGGCAGCCACGTGTAGGATCTACTCCGGTACGGCTTGCTGTTGTACTCCCAGCACTGCTCGACGCGCCAGTCCACGGCGGAACCACACGGCTGCGAACGTACAGAGATTCGTGCTCGTCATATTTAATCTCGGGATACAGAGAAGGGTTACCTCAGTATGAAGAAATAAGGGGGCGAAACAGTCTTTGCTGCTAGAATGGATTTTTTACGGATTTATTGTCACGTGGCATTGTGAATCGTTCCGTGATAGACTGCAAGCACAAGACCGTGCAGGCCCAACGAACTAGTCTTATTTCCTCCCGGACTGCAAGTGTTAGCGAAAGCGAATTAGATTTCGCTGGGTTTTTGTCTACATTCAACATTTGCTACGTTAACACATTTTAAATCAGCTGCCTCAAGGATTGGCCATCTAAACCTCATGACTCCTAGCGTTACTCGCACGCACAGAGGCGCTACACGTTAAAAATCACCCGTGTATTTTTTATTACCTCGGAAACCGTACCCGTGATACCTAACAAATAGAACCACTTATTACTGGCTAGAATTCCACAAATATCAAGCGTGTGTAGTACGCGAGGAGAGTTTATGATCTCATGCATTCTGTATCATTTCTATACCGTACTAGTCAGACCCTTACGCGTAAGTCCCAGAATACCTACACGTGTATCGACTTTGACACGAAGAACGCTGCAGGACAAAATTGCAGAGTTCTAGATTGACAAAGCCTAGAATATCAGAGAGCGAAATACGCGCCCGCCCGTCGTGTATGCCTTGAAGCGACTTAGCTACTAAAACTCTGAAATTATTTACAAGCTTCTCCTGAAGTATTGCGTCGAGACGATAGATATTTGTTTCAACAAGATTAAAAAAATTCCCATTTCACGGAGCCGACGGATCGTGCGTAAAGATGAATTTCGACGAATGAAAAGTCAGATTGCGATCCATCAAACAGAAAAAAATTTAAGCTGATACTTGCGCCTGCTCGATACGGGATGAGACGGGACGATTTACTTAACCTCGCTCTAAGCATATTGAACACAATATTCCCATTGCTATCTATTGATATAACTTGGTATTCAAAATCGTAATGAACACGTATATATTTAACATAATTTACTCTATCAAGAATCATATAAAAGTTTTTTAATAACAGGTCAGATGTCGGTCTGTATTCAACGTAAACATAATCAAAAAATATTTATCGCTAGTTACGTGACAACAGAAACTGTTCATTTATAACTAAAATTGCGTTTTCTGATATTTTTCAGAGACAGCACGGGGTCGAGACCTAAATATTTGGCTATAAGTTGTTTATAGTATGCACTACGACGAATTTCTAAATCCTTATTTCAGGAAATAAATGATAAAAAGTTCTAAAAATTGTAAATAATAATTTTTCAGAGCAATTCCAGTCACCCCATTCCCGCGTAAGTACTGGCATTAACACGGAACCAAAACAACCGAAATCGGAACTGTTCAATTCCAAGAAATATCCATTTAAACATCAGCAACGAAGGTTTTCCACTTTGTCGATGACTGAATTATTGATTATTGATGAGGTTTTTGTTATATTATGAATATATATGAATTATAAAACGGTTATTGTTAGTACTTACTGCGACATATCTATATGGCTGGGCTGGCTACGGGCATCGATTCTGACTTAAAATGTCCATAAATTATATATCGCCTCGTAATATTGTTGTTAAAGAAGTAGCCGACTAATAACCGACTCAAAATGCACGTGCCAAATATACTGAAACATGTAAAATAATAGCATAACCACAATCAACAGTAGAATGTTGCTTTCATAAAATGCCGATAATTCTAACCTAATATTATTATACTTCATAACCTTTATACTTCATGAAATGAAGACTTAAAATATGGCCGACTTTCTCTAGGGACCTTGTCATCTCCAGACATCCACATACGAACCAGACGGATGGAGTTTTTATAGGTTCTCTAGATTGTTCTGGCTCTGATAAAATCGGCCTCGCGTCAATTCTATCATGACATATGACATATTACGCAAGTCAGGATTTATATGCATAGCGCAACTCGATACAAAAATATAGGCTGGAGAGCGTACATGGTTCTCTTCGCAAGAAATGCAATCGTGGCGGCTTGCTATCCGACTTGATCCATGATATATTTTTTCAAAAGAATGAATAACGGGAAACGATTGAATCTCTCGTGAGACAGGTAATCTAAGAAGGGGGAAGAACTTGTCGTGTTCACGTACCAATCCCACCTCTGATACGGGACGAGTTGCGCGCATTAAAGTCTGCCAACCTGCGCTTGAATAAGAAAAGCTGGGCTAAAACGAAGTACAGATAAAAAAAATCGCACATATTGGCGTAGTTTACGCGTTAGCCCGCGTTGATTGGCGTTTCTCTCTAACTTCAGCCAGGAAATACGACTCAAAGTTCAACACAAGCGCATCCTAGTAGCGCCTCACATGTCCAGGCCTTTCTTACTGCGAGATGATCACTCTATGATTCTAGCTCAACTATCTCAGAGCTCATGCTAGTTAAAATACAACACGCGATGTTAGATATGCGCTTACAATTTCTCTCTGAATATAGATTTTTTCGCTTTCAGAACATATATATACGTATCAGCGAAGGCTGATTTTGAAACGTTCCAATTTTGCCGTAACTCGCGGGTTGATTTCTCCAGTCTACATGATGACCACTTGCCAACGTTAATATTCAATAAATACGCTATTCGCTGTAAAAATAGGTGAATCGAGCAGGACGATGGGTGATCGATTGTGTAATGTTTAGGCGAAATCACAAGCAAGTGGTGCGTATTTGCGTACTATGCTACATGTTTACACTGTCTCCGCCATCGGTCTGCCTCCGGCACGATGCATGTCTGAATATGTTGGTTTAGACATTATGTGACGCGGGAGGAGGAAGGCGGCGGGAGGGTTCATGAATCAACACGACTAAATCGAAGTCCGAAATATAAGACTTCGGCTACCCGCCTATACGCATCTCAGTGCAAAATACGTCCAATACCCATTTCGGGACACATTTACGGCTACATAGAAGACTGGCTTAAAATGTTGAGTCCGCGCCAAAGATCATTACCGAGTTATTTAGTTTAGATTTCAATGCCTGCTATATTTTACGATATTTGGACATGGAATTTCATGAATGGCTGCGATAAGCATTATTCCAAAGTAATCAACTTTAGCAGCATTAATAAACCGAATATGCATATTAATGTGATGGTCATTAATAGTAATTAAATTACGTTTTCGGCGGTTGATGTAAAAAACACATAGACACACAGGACAAGAATGAACCTTGAAAGTCATGTGACAATCTCGCACATTTACGTGCTAACGATTAATGCGACAAACGCTTATACTTAAGAGGAAAAAGCTAACCTATTCAGAACATATTTCAGATAGCATGTGACGCTACATTGTATATCGGTAGTAAGTCGCTATATGCCGCGCAGCGATTAAGCCCATAGCATTAGCAGTAAACAATTTAATCGTGTACGGTAAATGCAAATCCTATCTTTTGTGATATGTTTGCGGATATGTGTTGTTATGGCTGCAGGAAACGACGGCTATGGCATTACGATACCCTATCGCTCACATCGTACTTGTTCAAATGTCTTCTTACAGTAGCTCATTGCCATAATGCGCCTGAGTATATTTGGCAGTTATTAGCTAAAACCGTGTACGCTTCTACTCGCGTGGTCGACTTCAGCAGTGGTAAGTAATTGAGTAAATGCACGCACACACCCGCACGCACGCACACACGCAGGCTCACACGCATGTACGCATGTACGCACGCACGCACACACACACACGCGCACGCACGCCCACACACGCGTGCACACGCACGCACGCACGATCGCACACACACACACACGCATATATATATATATATATAACTAACATAATTCATCGATATAACTTGAGCCGACACCGTCTAGGTATTAGGGTAAGCTGACCGCTCTGATTTACAATTGACATACTCAAATATTTGGCCGCGCAAGTAATTCTTTCTGCTGATCAGCAGTTAAACAGTATTAGACCAACGCCGACTGATGCAGCACCTGGTGTATACTGTTATGATCCACGAACAAACTTGTTAAATCCTCTGTGGCACCAAACACCGCCGGTATTGCTTGCGCGACCAGACGAGTAAATTCCTCATTCCTCATCTCCGGATTCCTAAACTATACAGACACACGCAGGCACTCATGTACGTACACATACACATAACAACATAGCTAACAAGATGTGTGTGTGTGTGTGTGTGTGTGTGTGTGTGTGTGT